GATACAAGAAGGGACACGTGAAAATCCCCACTTTCTAGAGCTGGACCTATGCACTCAGCACAGCACCTGGTAAGTAGTGACCACTCAAAACATGGCCTTTCGCTGGGACTGCAGTAGACACCCCTGCTGCCCTGGCTCTCCATGACGCTGTGACTCCTGGCTTCCTTAGAGCACCTAAGTGGATGGACACAATGGAAAAGAAGATATAAAAGGTCCCCAAGAAGTGACAGAAGCTCAGACTGTGTCTTCTACCTACTAAACCTTTTGATTCAATTTTCTTAGGGTGGGAGATGGTGGACAAAGCTTGAGTTATACAACCAAAATCAATTTTATCTCAAACTGTTAAAGTAGTTTATTTTTATACACATGGCCTTGTGCATGTGGAAAGAGCCCGCAGCATTGATCCAGGGTTCTAGGGGCTCTGGGGACTGCAGAATCCAGACAAGAGGCTGAAGGCCAGGAGTGGGCTTTATTTATAACCATCTGACAGTTTCCAAGGGAGTGAAACAACAAGACCTTGTGTGAGATGAGTCATACGGACTCTCAGGATCAGAGAAGTCACAGAGGATCAAAGAACGGATGAGCCTTCCAGCTCACTGCCCCTCTGAAACCAAAAGATGCATTTCACAGAGCTCTCTATAATCTGTTCCAACTAATTTTCAGGGATTGAGTCTAAAGGAAGATTCAGCAGCAGACTTAGTTGCTATAGCCACTTGGATCCCTGACAACGTGGGCTTTGGTAGAATAAAAAAAAAAAAAGCCACATTTTTCCCACAATACCTTCCCTCAAACAAAATGAATGAAAGCCCAAAGCCTTATTTATGATGGAGGGATGAAAGACATAGTTGAACAATTTGCAAAGCATTCAAAAATAAATACGGACATCATTGAGCAACTTGCAATGCACCACAAATAAGTATTACTAATTTATTCAAGTGTACTTCTGTAACTGTGTTTTTCATACACTTTTCTATTCGTATTCTCTGTCCCATTATGACGACTGCCCACTGAGTCACGGCTGAGGTATGACAGTAATGTCAAACATGCTGGATGTCACACCGTCCAATATTCATCCAATTCATCTTGCTTTGCAAAGCAATGTAGGTAAGGAATGTACTATTGGTTTGGCCTCATGAGCTGGCATGTGGTTGGTTGATCAAAGGAGGTGCTGGATAGAGGTCTGGGGAATGAGAAATGGACACACATCTGCTCTGGGACCCTTGCTGCTTCCCCTACTATTCTGGCCACCTATCTAGGTATCTGATAAATAAGGGAAAATGGCTCAGTGGTCCACATACACTAGATTTGACAGAGCAGAATCCACTGGGGAGATAGAATTGGTTCCCCTGTGGCCCATATGCAGCAGTACACAGAAGCCAAATAGAGATAAACTTTGGGTTCCAGCTCCTGCCCTGGTATGATCAGACTGGACACAAAAGTAACATGAACTTCAGCAGTATCCCACCACCTCATCCATATATTCTTGGGAGATGCTGGTCTTTCTTGGCATGATGGAGGCTGAGGACTGACCTTATAGCTCAGAATATAAGCTAGTTACAAAATTCCCTATGTAGGGAGCATCAGCCCGTCTGCTAGCATGAACACAGAATGGCCAGGATTGATTAATGAAAGCACTAAGGCATCCACTGGACACCTCTTCCCTAGGGAGGCCAACCTGCTCACCTCTAATAGGTGAACTCTACCAAGTGTAAGCTGCTTCATACAATCACATACCTGCCACCCACACTGCCTGTTTGGGCTGTGTCTATGGCTAGACAAAGAAAGAATTTGGAGTTTCTCATCTGAGTACAAAGGATGGCTTTCTAAGGTATCAAGTAACCATTTATTCCATTTTCCCTCTACACATCACAATCCAATCTCTCCACTTTGCTACCCTGTTCTATTCCCTCCATGCACACTACTTCATCCAGGGTTGCTTTCTTTCTGACTTCTGGATGGGTTTGGCCTGGGAGGCAGGTGCTACAGAAGATGAGAGGAGGAGAGGGGGACCATGGCACTTCTTCCCGACTCCTCCTTTGCTCTGGCCTTCATCTCAGGCAGGGGCTGTCTCATTGTTCATGCTTACAGCAGCTGTTGGGAAGCCCTGCTCGACAGCACAGCCCTTGCTGGACTGACTCAGCTTGCTGGGCTAACAGCAGCAGCAACAGCTTTCTGCTGAGACATCTCCCTGGGTGCCTTGAGATCTTAATTATTCATATACCTCTGTGAGAAGTCCTTTTATGAAAGCCTCTTCATTTGAACAACCTGAGTGAGATTCAGTTTCCTAATAGCATCTGATTGGAACAGGCATCTTTCAGCACTAACATCCTGTGATTCTACACTTGTGGTCCAAGCAGGATGCAAAAGCAACATCCTGAAAGAAGTACAGTATGGGCACTAGAATCTTGACTTCCACACTCAGATGGGTTTCGATCAGGCCAGAACATAATCCCATATGAGCTGTTTTCTCTAACTCAGGTCCTTAAACTATAACAGGATCTTGGGATAATAATTAAATCCAATTATGTCAAGTTTACTAAACAGTTGCCTTGAAAAACATATATATTAACATATAAATATGTATATATACACATACTGAAATAATATTATGGTGAGGGTTCAGATACAAATTTTGTGTTCCCTATGAAGTAGAAAAAAGAAACAATAATCCCTGTTATAGACTCAAGTGAATTGTATCTTTTCTCTTACTTCAGCTGTCCTCATTGTACTGACTCTTCTATGTATGTTACATGTGGATCTTGTTTAGTGTCCAAGACTTGATTCTCTGTCTATAAAATGGATTTCAGCAGGGTCTGAGCCTTTATTGCTAAATCACTATGGAGTCTTGTCTTCACTCCAGTTCACTTGGCAAAATACTGGCTGCCTTATTTCTTGTTTTCCTATAGGTAGAATAGTCTTTACTCAATAAGTTTAAAATATAGTTCAAGATGCCAATCATTGCCTACCTATAGTTGAAAATTGAGAAAAGATATTTCTCTCAGAAAAAATCATTTTTAAAATAAAATGTAGGTTTGATATATATTGGTTTTTGACCCTGAGAATTTCTATCAATTTTCTGGTCCTTTTCTCCAAGGGTAATATACATAATCCATCTCATTATGGGTCTCTTCTATCTCTGGGTCTCTTCTGATACATTCTCAAAACAACATTCTAAGAATAAAAGGCTTAAGAATAAACAATGAAGAGTGTTTTAGGTGTCTGGGTTGAAAAGTTGAGGTTTCTGTTAGGAGCATTTTCACTCTTTACTAAATTAAAAATTAGTAAAGTTCTCTGCATTGTCTAAAACATTTTGAGCACTTTGATTTGAATCCCACAACAAGCATCTTGGCTTTCGTATGGGTTGATTTCTTTGCTGGCCTCTGATACTGCAACCTGATATCCTATCCTTTACCAAATAAGTCACAAGGACACTTTTATAAGACTCCTGACTCCATATGACATTCTTCTCAAAACAACGTAGGAACACAAGAGAAGTGTCACTCAGGGATGAAGCTTCTTTCTTGACTTCATGCTATCTTACTGCTCGACTTCCTATGTTCTTGTCATTTATTACCCTGGAAATTGTGTTTATGTGTGTATGTGTGTGTATGTGTGTGTGTGTGTGTAAGAGAGTGTTTGTGTACACACATGTGTATAATATAATTTCTCAAATGAAAACCCAATACCATTCCTTTGTGCTCTTTGCTTCTTCAAAGAGGTATTTAAAACTCAATTTAGTGAGAACAGCACTTTTGATTGAATGCCCCACTTTAAAATATTTCTCTAGTCACCTCTCCACACAGCATACACACATTGGACAGAAATCCATTCACCTTGGCACTTCTAGTGTGACAATTTTATTGTCCCCCTGGCAACATCAGCTTAAAGACTGATCTATGATCCAACAATATACTAAATCAAAACATTATCCCAGAGCCAGCTTCAATTACATACCTCAGAGTAAGTGATGCCTGTGTGGTGAGACCTAATAGGAATAAGGAATATTCTCTTATCAAACTGTCTCCATCCCTGTCACCACACCAAATGCCTCATCAGCCTCATCATTGAAGATGCTTCTTCTGAAGCCTCAGAGACTTTTTTAAGTTAAGAAATACTGGGCTGGGGATGTGGTCAAGCGGTAGCGAGCTCGCCTGGCATGCGTGCGGCCCGGGTTCAATCCTCAGCACCACATACAAACAAAGATGTTGTGTCCGCCGAAAAATGGAAACACCTTAAAATGCTCTTCAGCAATAAGACTTTGGTGGATATTTGCTAACAATAAATCCTTGCCCATGTTAAGAAACATTAGGTAAAGAGCAGAGATGGAAGGGTCCCCATGACCAATTTCACCTGCTGTGGAATTTGGTATTGATCCTTTCTAATGATTCTAGTACTTGGGGCAAATTTCAAAAAGCATAGAGAGAACTAAAAGACATATACTCAAACTTCATTGTGTTTATAAGAGAGAAATGGGCAGAAGTATATTTTGAAACATGTTCTTTCCTGTTGACACATGTTCAAAGAATGTCTGGAGGAAATACTAAATTAAAATACAGACTGATTCAACTATTGGCATCAAATCACTTACAATGAAATATGGTTGCTATCTTGAATACGAGGGAAAATAAAAGAAGCTTCCCAACATTATAATTTTGTTGATGAAAACAATGAAAACCTTAATTTAGAATCTATTTCATGTTACTTTGATTTTAGCATTGTGAATTCCCTTAGAGACATTTACTCAAAGTGACTCTATTATGTCCCTGGTTCCTGAGATGGCTGGTGGAAAGAATATAGAGAGGAAAAGACTATAATATTTAAAGTAGTGAATTAGTAACTATAAATGAACAACTATGAATACTCCTCCTGTAATGTTTTTAATCTTCCTCATAGAAAGTCAGGTAGCATAGTGGGCAGATAACAACTTATTAAATCTTGACAAAACATATTATATACATATATATTATTTGGAACAATTCTCATGCCATTCTATTACTCACAGCAAGTTTATAGATGTGCAATCTTCTCTGCAGGGGAGCTGAATAAGATCTTAAAGTGCAGCATATACCACTCCCATCTTGCTAACAGAAGGTATTTTGTTCAGGTCTCCATTCCTCATAGAAGATGACCCCAATTTAGTTTGATATCTGTGTCTGAACCAGTCCAGTGGGAAATCCCATTCTCTTGCCAGTGACTGACTTGAGGAAGACATTTAATCTTGTTCTGTCCAGTGAGATATGTAAGAAAGAGGTGTCAGTGCACATCTCTCACTCCACTAGATTCTATCATATATTTACATGAACACTAGCAAGCAGGGCTGGTCCCTTCTTGAAGAGGTGTGATACCTGGTACCATGAGGTTAGTAAGTATGAGGGCTGAAGATGTACTCTTGCATCATGAAAGCAATGCTGAGACACTGAACTAACCAACCCTGGTAACACCTTATTCTGAGGTTTTTGTCAGATGAAAAATAGATTTCCTCATATTCTAGTCCCTCTATATGAGGTTTTCTGTTACTTGCATCTAAAAGCATTCCTTTCTGGTACAAAGTACATAGACACAATCCTCAGGAAGCCAACAATCTCATCAATGAGTAAATAAATAGGGAACTATGACAAGTAGTGTAATAATATCGAGCAAGATGTTAGTTGAGTCTATCACCTCTAAAGATTCCCTATGCTTTGAAAAGAGAAGAAAGCACTTTTATATGAAGTACTCAGGAGGCATCCTGTGAAAAAGGTGGGATTTCTGTAAGACCTGATTAGTAATACTTGACCAACACAGAGACAGTGGGTAAAAAAAAATTTTAAAAAAATCTATTTTTACTTGATAGTAAGGAGACCAGAATACAGAGGTAAAAGAAAAGTTAATGGAGTAATATTATAAAAAGAAGTCAGGGTAGAAAAAAAAATCCATTCTTGGGTTGATAACTAAAGTTTTAGGAATGGGGGATTATATACAGTAATCTACCATGAATGGAATTCGGTTCTCTTGATACACCTTAGGAAATGTGCTATGGTCCAGCAAATTTAAGACAATTAGCATAAAATACTATAGATATTACATACTATCCCCTTGGGTATTAACATTACCTCTTAGCTTTTAAAGGCTCTGAGAAGTCCTGAAGTCCATAACTAGCCCGAAACTTGGTTTAACTACTACTTTATGTTTCCCAAACTGCTTGAACCATAGAACTTTTTTTCCAAGGACAACTATTTTCCTCACACTTACAGCTAGTGATCCATGGCACAAACTTTGGAAAAGTTTGGGTGAAAGAGAATAGAAGGGACTTAAAAAGAGAATTTATAGAGCAGGAGGAAGAAATGGAAGTAAAAAAGCCCACAAGATTCATTGGCAATGGGTTTATGCCATGAGAAATAAAAACAATTTATCATTAAGACAATAGAGAGAAAGAATTTGATCATGAAAGAAAGAAAAGGGAGGGCTGGGGATGTGGCTCAAGCGGTAGCATGCTCGCCTGGCGTGCGTGCGGCCCGGGTTCGATCCTCAGCACCACATACAAACAAAGATGTTGTGTCCGCTGAAAACTAAAAAATAAATACTAAAATTCCCTCTCTCTCTCTCTCTCTAAAAAAAAAACAAAAAGAAAGAAAGAAAAGGGAACCATAAGTCAAGGAGCAAACATGTTTAAGTTTTCAATATCTTGCATGAATAGGTAAGTCTATATGCTTGCAAAATTAAATCTTGTATGTGCTATTTGAAATTACCATAGAGATGGATAAATAAATGGATAGATGGGCAGACTGGTGGAAGAGCTTCTAAGACTTTCCTTTATGGATATATTCCTTATCCACCAGAAAAAAAGATCAGCAGTTAGATAAAAAGACAGAATTTTGATGATAAGATGAGGAAAAAGTAAATAGATGGTAGAATATAGTGGAGTGAGAGACAGTGTTGGCTCAGGAAAGATGAAGGATGTCTGAGAGGGTTATTGTGGCTAGTGATGTAGATAATGAACAAAAAACGAGCAAAAGAATTTTGAAAGCAAAATGAACTCCCTGCTCTCAAGCTAATGGCTAGCCCTCTAGGTGCTGTGGTTTTCTCCAGAAATACTCTAAACTAGAATCTGAGAAAGAAATTATAAGAGTAATACAAGTTTTGGCAGTTCCGTGGTAAAAGGTTAAGAGGGCAGGGAAACCTGAAGTTGGCATGCGGACCTTGTTAACCTGATTATTTATGCAGACTGAAAAGAGGTTATATGTGTCCAGAAGAGAGTTCTTAGACTTGGCAAAACCACAAGGGAAACAGTTATTTGAAATTCAGGTGAGAACAGAAAGTTTGCACTCTGGATTTTGAAGAGGTAATTTAAGGAGGTTGTCATAGGAAAGAGGGCTTAGTTCAGGATCTAAAAGAAACAGCAGGATGATTGTTGTCACAACCCATCAACAGACTCGTCAATCAACAGTGAGAATTTAGTAGATTATGCTTTTGTTGATAGATCTCTTCTCAGCCTTTGGTCTTCTTATCAGTACTTGCCATGATAGTTGTATCCTTCATGTATCAAACTTAATACTTATTAAGCCTTGCAAAAATGTGAAATGTGCTTTCTTTTTTATGATATAATCACCAAATTATTTTTAATATTATATATAAGTTAAGTCTCTAATGAGGAAAGTTAACTAAAATATTCCATTTGTATTTATATCCATTTACCTACATTTCACCCACTTATACTCTCATCTTTTTCAATTGATTTATAAGGGCTCTATATATATTAAAGGTATTACCTTTAAGGGAAAATATTTCAATACAAATGACAAACATTTTATGATGTTTTTAGGTATTGCTTATAGTGTTTTTTTCTCTTACAGAGGTTTTAAAGTTTTATATGGTCTAACTTATTAATGGTTTCCTTTATTCCTTCCCTCTTAAACATTTTTAATTAACCATTTCATTTAATATTTATCATGAGTTTGTTTCCTTATAGAAAACATTTGTTCCAGCTGAATCAGCAGTTAGATTAAAAGACAGAATTTTGATGATAAGATGAGGAAAAAGTAAATAGATGGTAGAATATAGTGGATTGAGAGACAGTGTTGGCTCAGGAAAGATGAAGAATGTCTGATATTTGTGATAAAAAGTAGGATAAGGACTTAGAGGTCAGGTGGGGATGTGGAGTGAACATACACACTCATGTATGTTTGTGTGTACTTGTCATATTTCAAACTGCATGTCAGTTTCTACTTTAATTCATTCTCAATGAAAAATTATGAAATACCAAATCAACTAATCAATAATATGAGTTCTAGAGTGGCCATAGCAATTACTGTTTCCCTCATTGGTGCCTTTGATTATCCCCTTCAAAATACTTACTATTTTGCCTGATGTGACTTCATTTTATGAACCATTCTGATTAGTTTAAAATTCCACTGCTTTCAACATGATCAACATGTTCCTTTCAACGACCTGTTTCTATTATAAAGAGACAACATCATGTTTGGCATGGACACATCACAATATCTGAGAAGCTCAAATATAAATAGAAATTGTCCATTATAAGGCTTCCCATTCTCAAATGTGTCCTTCTTTCCTCGGCAATATTTCTTTCCCTTCCCTTCTTGCCTCCACCTGTCTTCTGTCTTTTATCCCCTTGTCCTTCTCTTGTCGTTTTCCCCTTAACTTGGCCTACATATTGACCCATTTCCTCCCTAAAACACCACTAGGTTCATATCATCCCCTCCTTCCTCTCTGCAAGGCCATTGTCCCAAGAAGCCAAAGTTTGGGAGAGAGGTCAGGGCCAAAACCTTCCCTTTGCAGGCATCCCTGCTCACAGGATTCTCAGGCTTGTAAGGTCTGCAGGCCAAGCTCTGACACTGCCCTGGAGGGCGTGGCTTATGAATCTGATGAAACAGGTGTCTGAGTTGTTAAAGAAAGGTAGCCCCAAGGAATCCCTAGGTGACCTTCAGAGCTTTGTGACAGCGGGTCTATAAGGGTCTTCTGAAAAGCAGGAGGGTCAAAAACAACATCTCTAAGAGCAGTTAACACATTGCAAAGGAGAACCCCGCAAGGGTACCCAGGAGGCATGAGCAGCCTTGCACTTGCTCAGCCCGGCCCAGCTGCTGCAAAAACCATCCAAAGCAAACACTGCTCTCCCCACAGCAGACTCAACAGAACAAAAAACAACACCCAGATATAAATTAGATAGCGGAGCTCATCATGTTACACAGCCCACTGTCTTCAAATCCAGGATCTTGAATACAATAACAAACGATGCTATTAACTAACACATTGGTCTAAAGCCAAAACCAAATAACTCATTACTATAAACCAACATGATTCTCAGAATTTTCCAGGTCAGCTACAAGAGTTATGAGACTATCTTTTCAATTGAACTAAATCTCACCCATGTCTAATTGCAGGGTGCAGGCTAAATCCTTTTTCCCTTCTGCACAGCCAGCTTGTCTGCTGGAGCATCTAAGCCCTGGGGTCTTCTCAGAGCAGGGCAGGCATGTGTTCAGGTTGAAAGAAACATGAAGCCTGAAGCCAACACATGAGGGTTTCAAGGCCACCTGCTAGCCCAGTAATCTTAAACCAGTCTCTGAGCTTCCGTTTCTCTATCCAAAAAAACAAAAGTAATGACAGCTATCTCCCTGGAAATACAGGTGCAAATGTTTAGGAATTTGTAAAAGGCTATGGGGATGTTAGTACTTACTATGGAGAAACAAGCAGCTGAGAGATGTTTTTAACCATGCCCCTACCATAAAGCTTTGTCTTTTCCACAGTTTATTTCTTCCCTATAGTTCAAATCACTTATGCATGTCACACACCGTCTTTATGCTCCCAACATAATCACTGGGATTATAAAGGAGCTAGTATCATCACATGCACTTGACAACTTGAAAAGATGCACAAGAGGGATCCATCCAGGACACATCAACTGTGATAGAGATGACTTGAAAATTCAATGGCACATTTGGCAGAACCAAGAAGTTTGGTTTATTGTGTCTGTGGCTTTCCTTAAGCTGACTCCTCCTTGTCTCACCTTTTGCTCTTTCTGGCAGGAAGTCACTGATCTGTTTTGGTTTTGTTCATTCCTTTTAATATTCAGAAAGCTTTGCCGTGGCTGCATACTTATAAAACAAAAACAAGCTGCTTATCAAATTCTGGGCTCTGGAAGTGCACTTATTAACATATGAGTTTCTTCAGGTCAGGCAAGGCATTTGTTCCAGATCATACACTATGTACCCTTGGAC